CTAGGCAGTACCACTTTTTTGAAAACCAAACTATCAAGTAGCTCATGAGTAATTTAACTGACTGGTGACCATCTTACCATTCTTATTGTGTTTCACCTTTGGTATTTCCTAGAGAAAAGTATTTTTTAAGAAATGTACTCCTTAGTCTCAATAAAATGAACTTCTTCCCTCATAGTCTGCTAATTAAATAATATAGTATCCTACATATTCATCAGGGAAATTAAGATTTGATTCTGCTTTGCTACACCACAGCATGGCATGAATTAGTGCTACAGAAAGTCACAAGCAGGCTATCTCTGATACTAAATAAATACTAATCAATAATACCATCTTTCTGAAAAGAAAAAGAACATGAAAACATGTCCCTCTTTACCATGAAGATTCAGTTCATTACAGAATCATTGAAAAGTAACTGGACATGGGCTTAATTATTCACTGTAGAGCAAAGGAGATCTGTTATTGAGGGGTCTATGCCAAAAATCACCACTTTTGGTGCTATTAACGTCTTAATAATCCAGAAAAACACTGTTTGCAAACCATATGTGGCTAAACTCAATTTTAATTGGCTGGAGCACAAGAACAATGTTCCCTTGTTTTGAAAATTGTACTTTTTAGCATCTTTTTTTACCCAGATCTTAATAATCAGTGTGAATCTCCATAAACATTATTACTTTGTACATGATTATGATTTATTAATTCCAAAGAGTTCCTGCCTATATGAATCTTCCCGTTTATCCACTTTGGGGAGGCACAGCAAGCATTCAGACACTAACATGCTCAACTTTTGTTCTGCAAGCATTGTACAGAAGGCACACTGAGGCAGTCATCACTGTTAAAAACTATGGTCCACAAAATCCTGTATCCTCTTAACTGGGAAAGCAAAGACCAGTGGTGTTAAAGAAATTTTTCTTGACTGTTTAATTGTTACTAAACATCTAACTACATAAAAACAATGATTAATATTCATTGAAAATAAGCGCAAAGTGCAACGGGCAGGTACGCATGCGTGGTGGGGGGCTGGAGGGGTTTAACAAAGGAAGCAAGGCCCAGCAGCAAGCGGGGGAAGCCCGGGAACACTGACGGACACAAGAGACAGCATTACAGTACCTGACAGCCTGTGAGAGCAAGAGGAGTGAGAGAGACCAGGTAAGAGAGCGCTCACGGTGTGAAGGAGGAGCGGGACGCTTTTAGTGGCAGGCAAAGCCTCAGAAAGGTGGACACAGTTGCTGATAGACTGGCTTCGCTTGGCTTCCAGGAGAGATAAAGTAACATTTATGTCAGAAGCACATCAGGATCTTTCACTTTTTTTTTATGGCTATTTTTCTGGTCTTCCTTTCAATATTTAAAGGAGGTCATTTTATACTTTAAAAGAAGTCAGTACAAAGCAGAGTATTTAACCATAGTCTCTAAATACAGCCAACGTTCAGTCATTCTCATGACATGGGAGAATAGACAATTCACAAATAATCTTATTTTAGAATGCTTTACAGGTTTAGCTTTCCTTTTTTCCTGCTATCAGACCCACATTTGGGTTGTTTATTTGAGCGGACATTATAATCACTTTTCCCTTCCTAGAGGACACACATATGAAAAGACCACGGGGAGGGAGGGAAAAATCTAGCCTAAGATTAAAATTGCTCTACAAATAATAAATAATTCAAAAGTTGGTTTACTGAGAGCTGACTGTATTCAAAAGCAAATCATTTAGTAAATTAAATGTCCTAAAACCTCAGAAACACATAAAAGTCAAGTTGAACACCAAAAGATTTGGTATTTGGAAAAAAAGGCAAAAATCTCCATGAAACCCATCCTTCCATAACACATTTTGTGCATATTAAAATCCATAATTTCTTAGTATGAACTTTATGATGCTCTTAAGTTTTCTTTTTTTTAATAATATTTTATTTATTTACTTGAGAGAGAGAGAATGAGAGAGAGAGGGAGAGCATAAGATGGGGGAGGGTCAAAGGGAGAAGCAGACTCCCTGCTCGATCGGGGGACTCAGGATCATGACCTGAGCCAAAGGCAGTCACTTAACCTACTGAGCCACCCAGGTGCCCTGCTCTTAAGTTTTCAAAAGACTGCTAGTGAAATGACCATTTGAGCAAATGGATAAACACAGGAAGAGAATACACCTCATATATATGAAACTACCATCAGTAAGATCACTTTTATCCTTAAAACTAGGTTAAAGGTTTACTTGCTGTTCTATTACTTTTATGTGATTTTATTTCACATTAATGAAATAGAAATACAAATGAGAATGATACATTTGCAAAGAGTGAAACAAACTTTTCACTTCCTTGTGTCTCCCTGGGCCCCAACCTCTGGCTGTCAAATTCCTAGTTCTAACTCCCACATCTAAAGTAATTACAGTACACTTCACAAATGGGTAAGATAATATTTAAGGGAAAATGACTTCCATGCAAATGTCAAACTGACTTACTTCAAATTTCCTAAAAGATGTGTTCATCTCTCAATGTCCTTTTATAAATGAAATGAGTGTGCATTTTCCCAAAACTGATCACTAGTTATTTTAGAAATAAAACTTAGAATAATTTTTTTGTGTGGAAATTGACTTGCTTTAATCACTCATTTTAGACATCTAAAATTTTAGCATCATTCACACTCAGGAACAAAGTTTTCCTTTATAATTCTTTAAGACTCTCCTGTTAGTTCCTTTTAAATTGCAAAGTAGTTGATTCTCTATTAAATTGTCATTTCCCTACTCTGCAATTGATTATTTTATTATTTCCATCTTACCACCATCACTGACATTTTCTCAATCTAAGTAGTCTGTAAGGCAAATTATAATATAATAATCTTAAATTATTCTTGTATTGAGATTAGGAAAAAAAAAGTCACTTTCAAATGAGTCTTCCATAATAAGCACTAAGTAAAAGTGGCAAAAACTAACTTCCTGAGCTGCAGTTCTCTCATTAAAAGGTGGCCTCCACACAAATCAAAATCTACCATGAAATTATTCTAGGCCTTTTTTAAAAGATGGAAAAGAGAATTATTACACAATGTAAAAAGCACAGAACTGAGTAAAACCAGTTTATTTATATAGTGACTATTAGTCTATATAAATTAATTTTATAAAACAGCATGATATAATAAAATCTTCAGAGACTGTTGTTTTCACAGGCAACTAAAAATGATAAATGTGTAAAATAAAATAGGAAATACATGGGGTGCTGGTGGAGCATGTGACTCTTGATCTCAGGGTTGTGGGTTCGAGCCCCACCTTGGGTGTGGAGATTACTAAGAAATAAAATCTTAAAAAAAAAAAAAAGGAAATACATATGTGTGTACAAAATACATAAAGGTAATAGACCCATCCAACTCAATAGGTCTTATCCCATTATCTTTTTTTTTTTAATCCCATTATCTTTTAAAGGTTATGGTTCCAAGCGTTAATTTAATTAATCCTAAAAAGGCCAGGTTTATGACTTTAAAGTTACATAGTCTAAACACCTTTAACGTGATTTTGTAAAAGTTCTTATTGCTGCAATACCATGGCTTTGACACCTGAGAACACTGATGAACAGAAGCTCACTGGCATAAATGCACCGAGGATTATCGAGAACAATACTGGTGCCACTATCGTATTTGCTGGTCTGAAACATCTGCTGAAAAACTAAAATGGCTGTGTTTTGGCCAAGTAGGGGAATAAGGAGCATGCAATATACAATACTTTGCTGCTCATTAAAATGTGAAAGTAGAGTTTTACACAGTGTTTTGAATGATCACTTTTATTATCATTACAATTCTAGGGCCCTGAGGGAGTCTGGGCAGCTGAGGCATGATGCCACTTTGTCACAAACTTCTGCTCTGATCCAAAGATGGAAGAAAGGAATTTTTAGGAGTTGGAACAAGAATGGAAATCATTGAGTAAGCCTTCCCCAAAGTTGCCTGTTATTAGGAACTGCGTCTCTCCTCAGGGGAGAGATGAAGGAAAGCAGGAGAAACAGAACAAGAGGTGAATGCAAATAAGGTGATAATTATCAACAAATGCTATGGCAAAGAGCATTAGACAATTAGGGTTAAGGTATAATATAATTTCATAAAGACTCCAACAGGATTCTAAGCCCTCTGTACGAAGCCTTTACTAAGCACTGTAAGATACGCTGAGTGTAAATGACTCTGGTTTATGACCAGAGGATATTGTGACTTTCTGCAGTCAACATGCTGAATATCGATATGACAGCATGGTATTACTGATGTGAAAAACTACAGGAAACTCAGATAAATTTGTTTTAAATGTAGTTACAGCCTCAAAGTCACTGGGGATAAGGGGCTTTATTTGTTCTTATTAAATACTGGATATAAGCTTACTTTTTAAAGATTTATCTTTTGGTTTTAAAGTGAAATGTAGCAAACCAGTCCAAAAAACAGGGTTCTTGGTCAAGTTCTTGTTTGTTCTAACAGGCTAGAAAAACAACAGCTCCAGGTATGTAAAGCTCCCATTTCCTAAAAGAAGCAAAACACTTAAATATCCCCCTCCAGTCCTGCAAACTAAGTGCATTATTCTCTTTTTCTTTGTTGGAACAGTGCCACACTAAGATTTACGCTGCTCAACAACAATAGTAGTGCAACTGTGTGATTACTGAGAATCTGTTTTCTTCAGGGTTCAAACAAAATATTTATTTTCTCTCTTTTGCAAAGATATCTCACTCAATATTAACATCTCAAGGTCTTTTTCACAATGAAAGATTCAGAAATAAGTATCAGAAACAGATTTGAAGAGTAACCAGAACAGACAACTAAAAGATATGGCCTTTAATAAAAGGCCATGTATTTGAGTTCTGAGTGGAATTTTAAAACTTTTAAAACATTTTATTCCTATAAATCCATTTCAGATAGCAATTAGACCTTAGAGAAATATTTAAATAAACGTTTACCCGTTGCTTTCTGGCGAACGATATTTCTTGCTTTCTCAACTCCTGGTGCCCCAGATGTGGTGGCACTCCTAGATCGCATTGGCTCGGTCACATCTGGGTGGCTCCGCCAGCTGAGAGAAAAGGATCTCCCCACAGTGGTTCCTTTCTGAGAATCTAGAACACAGCCTGATAAAGGATAAGGAAAGAAAAATAATATAAAGGCTGAATTCATTATCATTCATTCCACAGTTTGTGTTGCTCAGCAAATTTCATACTACACTTGATCTTAGCCAAAGGGCCAAGAAGCGATCAGCAAATTTCATAAATACAACTGTATATAATCAGCAACTTCTTTTGTTGCAAAATTAGGTACCACTTCTCAACTTTCCTCTCAGTGAGCTCTGGTTAAATATTTCAAACGAGTGGTCAAGGATTCAAAAGAAATACAGGAGAAAAGAGAATTAGACAGAGATTTCTGCACAGATAATGTGCTGGTGGCTGCCCCTTGTGGATCATTTTCACACCCAAGTTCCTGAGAGTGTACTTTGTTTCCACAAATCCAGTGCTTAGAAGGCAAGTATTTCCATAATGAATATTTAAATTCATTTTTAGAATAAAGCAATATAATAGATAAATCAGAAATATTTGCCATAGTCATTAATTGAATAATTAAATTCATTCTTTATCATTCTATAGTGTTTTTCAAATTGTTTACCTTCCTATAAATAAATACAGCCACTCCCAGACTGCAGCAAAGATATTAAAAGAGTCAGTCACATTAATTACATGTCTGTATGGTTAAATAATCACCATAGTTGGTTCACACCTCCCCACATCCACATCCTCTGTCCACAATGATCCTGGGCTTCATCACATGACTTACTTTGGTAGCAAAACCGAGCAAGCAGAGATATGAAATGCACTTGAAAATCTGGGCTTGCCCTGTTGCTGCTCCTGGAACCCTAAGTCCTCACAAAAAAAAACCTGTGCTGGCCTGCTGGGTAATGAAAGGTTTATGGCCAAGTCCCCCTACCACTGCCCCAGCTGAAAGCTGGCCAACTCTAGAGCTGTCTAGCTGATTATTTGACAGCCTAGTTGACTGCAAACACAGGAGTGAATCCAGCAGAAGAACTGCCCAACTGTGTCCAAACCAAATTGCCAACTCATAAAATCATGATCTAAACAACTGGCTGTTACTTTAATCCACTATGTTTTGGGGTGATCTGTCACACAGGAAAAGCTGATACAGTCTATAATAAGGCTATTGTTGAGGCTGTAGTCTACCCACAGCAAGCAATGTATACCTTATGAGTCTTTGGAGGAGAAACTATGCCCAGATTTTCGGACCAGGAAAAGCTATGTATCGCCCAAGCTGCGGATTTTTCCCCTTTTGTAATCTGTGATCCTCTGCTGTAACCCTGTGAAGATCAGAGTCAAACCTAAGCTTGCCCACCCCAGCAAGCATAGGAAGCTCTCCAGCATGCATTCTGGCATTTTAAAAACTCCTGCAACTCCACCTCCTTTAATTTTGCCCCAGTGTCCTTATGCATTTTATCTATTTTATTCTATTTTTATTTTTTTAAAATTTTTTAAAGATTTTATTTATTTATTCATGAGAGACAGAGAGAGAGAGAGAGAGAGATGCAGAGGGAGAAGCAGGCTCCCAAGGAGCAGGGAGCCTGATGCGGGACTTGATCCCAGGACCCTGGGATCATGACCTGAGCCGAAGGCAGACGCTTAACCATCTGAGCCACCCAAGCGCCCTGTTTTTTAATTTTTTCTAAAAGATTTTATTTATTTACTTGAGAGAGAGAGAACACAAGTGGGGGTAGGGTAAGAAGGAGAAGCAGATTCCCCGCCGAGCAGGGAGCCCTATGCAGGACTCAATCCCAGGACTCCAGGATCATGACCCGAGCCAAAGGCAGTCACTTAACCAACTGAGCCACCCAGGTGCCCCTATCTATTGTATTATAGGTACTTCTATGAACTGCCTAAAAATCTTTACATAATAAATTGGAGTACAAGTGAATTAATCCAAGGACTGTATCACAGCCTTCAAACAGTAAGGAAGACAAATTGTTGTCCCCAATAGAAACCACCTCTAATGTTTTCCACCTTGATCTGACTCTAGGTCTCAAAACAATTTTTACCCAGAAACACAAAAAAGGTCAAAATGACTCCTATCTGAAACATTCAGAATTTTTCCACCTATCTTAAGCAGGCAGTGGAATACGTCTTTCTAGTGTGGTGCCTGAAGCTAGACTTGCCTAGCTTTGATTTCTGGCTTTCCCACTTCTTAGCTATGTACCTTGAATGAGTCTGTCAGCACAGACTCTGTACTTCAGTTTCTCTATGATACTGGGATGATAACTTAGACGTTAGAGGGTCAAGAGAGAGAATACATACAAGCATGAGCCATTATTATTATTGTTGCTACTACTGCTACTCCCCTTCATCTTCCTTCTTCATTCACAGCTCCTTCATAAATTCATCATCCTCATTAAGAGGACAGAGTGCTATGAAACACAGTCCAACACGACCATTAAAAAGACACTGCCTAGGGGCGCCTGGGTGGCTCAGTCGTTAAGTGTCTGCCTTCAGCTCAGGTCATGATCCCAGGGTCCTGGGATCAAGCCCCACATCGGGATCCCTGCTCAGCGGGAAGCCTGCTTCTCCCTCTCCCACTCCCCTGCTTGTGGTCCTGCTCTTGCTATCTCTCTCTCTGTCAAATAAATAAATCAAATCTTAAAAAAAAAAAGACACCACCTATATGGCTGGTTCCATTTTTTATGAAATTTCACGCATTAATTGCCTAAATGTATAGACACACACTCCTCCTCAATCTCAGATATCTGGTGTTACTCTGTAAGAGTGGAGGGACCTTTGCCTCGCTGCTTCTTTTCCTTTTGTTCACTTAATTTGTCCAGAGGTAGGTTTGTCATCTCAACTCCGTAAACCGTTCTCGCGAGCACTGCTGTCAAGGAGTCCATGATGTTGGCCCACTCGTTTATGAGTTCTTCCCATTCCGTGAGGGAGGACAGCACGCCAAGGAAGTCATCCCAGAGCTCTCGGGAAATGTACACACAGAGGTTTGCTCGGATCCATGCCACCATGAGCGTCTAGAACCAACCAACCAACAAGAAAATTGAATCACCCTCATTTGGAATAAGAATGATTTTTAACAAAATATTTTAAATTACTATGAATAAAATGAACTTTAAAATAAAAAGCACTTGATCTTGTTTTTCTTTTAGGTTCTCAAAATTCATTTGATCAACTGTAACCAGGATCTGAGCTACAGAGAAATCAGTTATCACCATGAACAAAGCTACTGATTCAAAATCCCTCTAGTGTCTGTGGCTAGTGCTGGCTGTAACTGGGGAGAAGACAAAGCTCAGTACAACTGTTCTACTTCTTGAGATAGCTCTCTCTCTCTCACTCTCTACAGTGGCTGCTTCTAGCCACCTCTCCAGTCCCACCAACTCCTCCCTGTTTTTAGTAGATGAACTCACTGCAGACTTCAGAGAAAACAGAACTCATTAAGCAAGAATACCCTCAACCTTTACCCACAAGGCACAAGTGTTTGCCCAGCTTCTCCTCCATCTGCAGGCTGTAAGTGAAGAGGAGGTTCCCACTCTTCTATGCTTGTTACCATCTCTGCTCTGAACCTCCTTCTTGGTCTTTCTGTTTCCAGTAACCCTGACTCTCCTTCTTCAGTCTGTCCTACTTTGCCAGCAACTCCCCATCAGTATTTAAACATGTTCCCAATCTACCTCATCTTAAAAACAAAAAACAAACAAAAAAGTTCCCTTGAGACCAGATTCCCCCCTCTAGCTAGAACTTTTAAAGCCAAATTTCTTGAAAGAATGTTCCACATTCACTGCATGTGCACCTCCTCATTTCCCAGTCAACTGACTGCTCTGGCTTTCTGCCCTCTTGTGCCGGGGTTCTGGTCTCCATTCTCACGGCTCCAGTTAACACCTGTATACTGATGACTTCTGAATCTCCATGTTCAGCCCAGACCTCTCTGGTTTCCTGAACTCTTCTATCTGCATACTAGAGAGCTCTACTTGCATGTTCTGCAGGTACCTGTTAATATAGCGTAAGAGTAAAAAGAATTCAATGCTTCCACTGAGATTCTTCCAGTTCCTCGACTTGGTGTCTCCTGCTCCTGGCCTTGGCATGTAGTCTTCCTTCCTCTCTTCCCTTCTTTTTTGCCTCTTTAACTCCCATTCCTCAGGGCACAATGTGGACATTACTTCCTCCAAGGTATCCCTGACTGCCACTCCACCCAGCCTCCAGTAAGTACCTCCACACCCACAGTTGTCTGCATTTCCCTATCAGAGCACTTTCCTTAAGAGTCTACTTCTCTGTGTCCCTCCTCTAACCTTATGGTCCACAGCACTATGAATGGTCACATGGGCAAACCTACCAGACAACTATGCGCATATTTTGCATATTCCCTTACCTTGAAATGGCCTAGTTCCTTACCTCTGCCAAAATGGTCCACATCTTTTAAAATTCAAATCAAAATATATCTGCCTTGAAAGACGTGCCAAGTCCTTCTCAGGTGAGCCCCAAAGGCTTTCCTAATCTTACTAGAGGGAATAGTTATATCCAAAGTCTGTGTAACTTCCCTGATCTGTTGTCAGAGTTTAATGTGCTCCTTAAGGTGCCAACCTGCAAATATTTCTGCCCATCCCAGATGCAAATAGACTCCCACAGTCGATGGAAGTTGTCCTATGCATGCGATAGGGGCAAACTGGCTTTTTAATTACAAGAGAAATTTTTCTTTAACATACACATAGGAAAACTTTGAGAAATAAAAAACAGTCTATAGTCAGGCAGGTCTGTTCCAACCACTTGAAAAATCATATTTAAAATGACCCTTACACAATGTACCTGTTCTCTATGTTTTAATTCACATTTACCACACTTTTTAAAAGGATAAAAATGTGAAAGTTGAGCTAAAATCATTAAATATGTTGAAAACAAGGTTTTAAATATTCATAATGAAAATGACTCTAAGATGGATGAATGTAAAGGAACAATGCAAAAGAAAAAGCTAAAATAATTTTATCATTTATTCTTACTAAGACCTTATTAAATATATTCATTATGACTAAAACGCCATCTTCTGTTTATTCCATTTTACACTCCTGTTTTCAAAATGAGTTTGAGGGTATTACCATAAAGCGCATATACACAATAAAATTAATAAAGAGTAGATCAAAGAGAAACAGAGTAAGAGGAGAAAGGACAGACTGGTAATGCTACCAGCACTCAGCCTCACATCTGGTTTACAGCACT